CAATTCTTTGAGAAGTGGACGGCCTCTTCCTTCTTCCTAGTCTGTCTCAGTCTATAAGCTGGGCTGTTACCTGTGTACCAGGTGCATTTCGCTGGGTTTTAAACACCAGTGGCTCAGCCTCAAAACTCAAGTCTACATGTCACCACAGTAGGACAAACCGACAGACAAGTTTGCATCCTGGCTACTTAGAAATCTGGGACAATCAGTTCTCATAAGTTCTTTTACCCTAGAGAGGCCTTCCCTGACCATGCTATCTAAATTAGTGCCCCCACTTAACAAAGCTTGAAATTATTATTTATTTGTTTATTGGAGTCTCTAAATGATGCAAAAGGTTAATGGCCTTGACTGCTAATAGAAAGGTTAGCAATTCATGTCTACCCACCCACAGGTTCCTAAGAACAAAGTCCTGGAGTTCTACTTCAGATAATCAGCCACTGAAAACCCAATGGAGCAGGTGTTAATGTTTGTTTTGGTTTACTAGCTTTTTAAATTTGTCTCTTCCTCTCCCTCCAATGTAAGCTCCTTTAGGATAGGGACCAGGCTTATTTTATTCCCTTTTATATCCCCAGAATGTGGTAGGAGCTGGAGGAACATTGTAAATGGATGAAAGACTCTGAAATGCCCATAGGTTATGGTTCCCAAAACTTAAATTATAAAAAAGGGAAGGAGAAATAGAGAAGGGAAAGATGAAAAAGGAAGGTTTGAATAACACCAAAAAATAACAAAACTATCAACAGGGAGAGATTATAATTTTCTTTTTTTTTAGAACAAACATCAATATACAATCTACTGAAACTAACTAAAACCATGTGGATTTAAGTTCAAAGAAGGAAGGAATTCCTGAAAATAAAGCTGTTGAAATCTGCCAAGTGATACTACAATTTAATAATAAAAAAGACAATCCAACTGAAAAAATACGGGCAAAGAACCTGATTCTTGATTGCAACGAAGATGGCAATAATGGCCAATGAGCATATGAAAAGATGCTCAATGCCATTAATCTCTGGGGAAATGCAAATCAAAACTACAAAATACCACTAACACCCACTAGGATGCCAAAAAGAAAAAAGAAAAATAAGAAGTGTTGGCTAGGATTTGGAGAATTGGAGACCATCCTTTTCTGGTGAAAATATAAAATGATGCAGCCAATGCAGAAAACAGTTTGGCAGTTCCTCACAAATTTAAACACAGAATTACCATACGACCCAGCAACTACTCTCTTAGTAAATTCCCAAAAGGCTTGAAAGCAGGCATTCAACCAGATACTTTGTACCAGTGTTTACTGCAGCATTACTCAAAACAGACAAAAAGTGGAAAAAATCTAAGTATCCATGAGGAATGGATAAATAGAATGCAGAATATCCATACAATGGAATATTCTTCAGCTATAAAAATGAAAGAAGTTGTGCTATGTGTTACAACATGAATGAACCCTTGAAAACATTAGGGTAAATGAAATAATTCTCACACAAAGGACAAATATGGCCCTTGCACTTACAAGATATTTTTTAAACTGGCTAATGAATTGACGTAAATGTTTCTGAGTGGTCACCAGGGGATGAAGGTGGGAAAATGAAGAATTATTCTTAATGGGGTACTGAGTTTCTGCTTAGGGAAATTAAAATCATTTGGGAATTGATAGCGGTGATGGTTGCACAAAATGGCAAATGTAATTAATATCACCGAATTGTACACTTTGGCAAATGTTTTGTTATATAAATTTTGTCACATTAAATAAATAAATAAAAGCCCCCCCCCCCTTTCTGGCACAATAGAGAATTAATTTTAACCAAATGCCAGGAGAGAAGAGAGGAACAAACAAAATTCAGTTGAATATCTAGTGCTTATTAGATGACAGACACATGCTAGAAGTTTTATAGCTTTCTACTGACCCTAACAGGAGCCCACCAATGAGGAAATTGGGAATGGGGATATTAGGTCACTGCTCAAAGTTACACAGCTGGTAAATGGTAAAAGTAGGATCTGAACCCAAGCCTGCCACACTTCAAAATTCACTGTCTTCTCATACAGGTTCTTAAGGCCCATCCCTAACCCAAGAACTAGGGGGAGGAGGGACTCCATATCTGGATCCCTAACAAATGCTGTTTCCAGGTGGGTCTTGATGTGGGCTGATAATGCCAATGTACTTATGAATTCAGTGTACTTAAAGTTATGATTCACTTCACACTAAAAAATGAAAACAAAGATGTGATATCTCTTAGAACACTTAGAGCCTCAAACGAGTCAGAGAACAACGCCAACCTGAAGCTATCTAGATATCACACTTTACTGTCCAGATCATACTGCCAACTTGCTATTTCCATTACGGACCAGAGGAAAGTCATCACACACTTGCTCTAGTTTTTGAAGGCTCATTTTAGGTAAGCATAAATCTCACCTATATCCTTAACGTACCCTGCCCACCCTTCCTCTTACCTCCTTAAATTCTTTCACGGTCTTAAAGTATAGTCTCTGTTTTTCTAACAATTCCAAGTACTGGTCGTTCAATTGGTCTCTTCTCATTTTATTCTCTTGCTTCTTCTTTTCCATCTATTGAAAAAGTTTGGAAAACACTGATGAAAAGGCACGTTCTGACCAAAGTCTGCAGGTACTGAGGATGGTTTGATGTTATCAGTGCAAGAAAACATCTGACAGGAAAGGACAAAGGTCCCATATTTTTCTGTCCTGTGAGTTATACAGTCTGTAAAGCTAAGGTAGGAGTCTTTGGGCGGCACAAATGGTTCTTAGCTACTAACCATAAGGTTGGCAATTTGAATCCACCTGAAGGCACACTGGAAGAAAGGCCTGGAGATCTACTTCCTCTTTGCTTCTAAGACTTTAGATAGAACATTAACACTTATTCTCTTTCTTGTACCCAGCACTGGTCTATCACTTGTATACCCTGAGTCTGCCAGTTCTGGGAAATCTGGTCTTTGAAAGAACACCAATTCTCTAGCCATACCTACTGAACTGGACCCATCATGGCACCACAACAGGGAGGGCTATGGTTTTTTTTTTTTTGGTAAGCAAACACATCCATTCAAATGAATACAAAGCAGACACACTTTTCCATTCCCGTGCCACTCAGTACTCAAATGTGATCTGGAACCCTCTTTGAGATCTGCTTTTAAGTCCATTGAATATATTCACTCATGTACAAATAGTTCTTGTGTGCCCACCATCATGGCTCAGGTGCTGTATTAACCACTGGAGATGGAGACCTGAGAAATAGAGCTCTTTCTGCCCTGGGGGTCCTGACCATCCACCTAGTGGGGGAGACAGAGACAGGGACCCAATGCAGATTCTTTCACTGCCAACACTGATGTGCCAATGGAAGGAAGCCTGGGGGAGAATGGAGTGAATTATGGGGTCAGGCCTATGTCCTTACACAGGGATGCTTCTTGTAGTAAACAGGATTCCTGTCAAAGGACTGAAAACTCTAATATATTCCAATTGTCCTTTACTGTGAACAGAGTAGTTCCTTGAGGAGGAGTGAAGATGGCCCACCACCCTGAGTTCTGGGGTTGTTTGTAGGCTCTCAGTTAACCAAGTTCTTTGTCTTCTACCCACCTCATCACTAGATCATTAAGAATAGGCCCTGTATACTCTCTAGGCAAGGAGCATAAGGTAAATGCTGACTTACATGTGTTCTCATTTCTGTGGCTGTCTTGTCTGAGAAATAGTGTTTGTCACTAATGACAGACTTTGTGAAAAGGACTGAAGCAATAGTTATTTTGAAATACTAGTTAGTATTCATCCAGAGAACAGCAGGAAGAAACTGCTGTGATGTGTTGGTTTTCCAAATACTAAGTGAATCTACTTTACTATGGCCAAAGCATGACCCAAGTACAGAGCTGCTGAGTAAGGGAAACTGCCACACTGCCCAGACTGAGTGAGTCTCTGCAAAATGCTGTCTGGTGATTCCATGCCCCTTCCACTTCTGCCCTTCTCACTCCTGACACTTCATGGGCTCAATTTCTTTTCACTTTAGCCGTACTCAGTTCAGAGGTTATTTACATTGTTTTTTTATGTTGTTGTTAGATGTTGCTGATTCTTAACTCATACTGATCCCATGCGTCAGAGTAGAATTATCTCATTTTATTTTTTTAAACTTATTTTGTTGTTGTTCAGCAAAAACATACACCAGTTCAACCAGTTCTACATGTTCAATTCAATGGCTGTGCCGTCTCATTTTTTACAGGAGGTTCTTGAAACAAAAACTCTCAAAATTCTAAGGAATAAATATCTAATGGCAGAACATCACTAATCAAAGATCCAGGGAGGAAGTCATTCTGGGCAAGAAAGGGAGCCTGCTGGTAAGAGTCAGTTTCCTCATCTGCAAAATGGGAGTAATACTACTCATAGGTGTTCATACATGATAACAGGTTAAATAGAGACCAACAGCAGCCTTTGAACCACCAGGTGTGGACAGTTCACAGAGCAGGCCCTGCCCAGTGCTGACTCAGACACACGGTTATCTTCAGGATGGAGACCACATTCCCAGAACAACCAAAAGAAGCCTTCTCCATCACTGGTGTGAAATCTAGGCTGTATTAAAGAACCAATATTCTCTTTTTAAGGTCAAATTTCAGGATTTGGGAGAGAGAAAAAGAAGCCATCTGACCTTCATTCTACTTTGCTTAATTCCTTCTACGATCTGTTCCATTTGACGTAAAAACTGGTCCCGGGAAGCAGGGGAGGCCATAGCTCTGAAAGAAAAACCAGCGGAGGTGTAACCAGCCCCACAGGATGCTGGAAAAGGGGGATCAGGACAAGGAGTTGGTCTCTCACCCTAACTGCTCCAAAAGGCAACCGGGCCTTTCAAAGCACATTGGACCCATGGGGGCCACTGGGATCCCAGGTACTTCAAGGATTCTAAACCTCAGTGGGAGGATGAAAATTAGCTGGGTTTTATTTGAATATTAACCTTTTTTTCATTTTACTTAACATGTATTTTCTTAATGTAAAATAAAATGTGACTAAACTAAACAAAAATATCTTTTACTTTGACATACAGCATGTACTGATTAAGTAATGAATTCCATTTTTAGAAATCTGAGAATCCACATCTATTCAAGATCAGTACATATTTTTGAGTTCTCAAAATGAGGGCTGGGATACCATGGTCCTTGTTTCTAGAAGAAGCAGTTAAATGATTGGATTCCCTGATGTGTTAAAACATTCCTCTTTACTCCAGCTCTGCGAGGAATCAGTATCTGAAGGATCAGAGAACATGCACATAAGGAATTGAGAATTCTTCCAAATGGTGGCAGAGAACAGAACTCTTCACAACACTCACAGCACTCAAATTGCACGGTCTCTCAATGATCAGGAAATGAGGATGAAGATGCCATTTTTTTAGGAATATCACATAATGGAACCTTATGAGAAAACTGATTTTTTTTTTTTTTTTTTTTAAATTAATAAAGCAACTGCAAATCCTGAGCCTGTAACCCATGAAGATCTTGGGCAGTTTTACCAAGGGTCACTTTCTTAGGGATAGGAGATGTTTGTGCTGGGAAAGAATGGAAGCCTGCCACACAGACAGCAACCCTGGGGCTACCCAGGAAATGGGCAGGGCAACAGGCAAGGTGGAGGCTCTGGCATGATCTAAGTACAGGAGGGCCTTGCCTTTCAATTTTTAGAGAAAAATAAACCTCTTATCTGAATAAAATAACTTAAAATATTCATTAACTTAAAAACAAAACTTAGCATAAAATTTTAAAATTCTTTCAAACAAATTATACAGATTATTTTTATGGCCTAAATTTTAAATGGGAGCTCTGGTAGCATAATGCCTAAGGCACTTGACTGCTAACCAGAAGGCTGATGGTTCAAACCCACCAGCCACTCCTTGGAAGGAAGGTTGGGCAATCTACTTCCATAGTGATACTACCTCAGAAACCCAAGGAGGGGTTGCAATGAGTCGGGTCTGACTTGACGGCACATAACAACAATACAACAACAAATTGTAAACCATCTGTATATGCTAAACAACAAATGGCATTGATCTGATTTTACCAAGGCAAAACTAATATACAAAGAGATTACAGTAATTAGTCATAGTCAAATTATTTGAAAATTATTTTCTTTCATAAGTTCTTCTTTGATGTTTTTAAAATTCACACTAACACCGTCATATCTGTACAGGAACTCAAAGTCCATGTAAATGAAAATCCATCTGTACTCAGCAGTAAGCTGAAGTGTCGGACTCGCGTATCCAGCACTATGTTGTGCTGAGCCTTTCTCAATCACACTATTACAATATGAAGGTGAGCTAAATACAAAATGCAGGGCATACCAAGGGATTTACAGGAGGAGGACTGGCATACTTACTGTGAGAAGTTTTCATGAATTGAGTTCAGCAGGCTAATCTGGTTAAGTTCAAAACAAAACAAAACAAAACAAAAGAAACAAAACATAACAAATCTTATAAGCAGAAGGTTGAGAGAGAGATCCCTATACTATCTCAAGCACTGAAAGCTTGTCTTATCTTCAGATACCTCTTCTGAAAGGAAAACACATTGTTTATGTAGATTAAAGTAACACATGAAGAAAAAAAAGGTGTAACATGCTCTTAGCCCCATTTCCTAGGGAGCTACTACCTTCCTAGCTCACAGAAAACTCTTCTTCCTACAACCCATTACCACTGTAATATAGGACAATGGCTCTTTGAAGGGTCTTAAATCCCAGATGAGAAGATGCTAAGCTAACATCAGGGATCTTTGGGCAAGCTGCCACCTCCGACCCTGCCCAACTTGCCAAATACTGTCCTTTATTTTCAAGGTACCAGCTTAGTTAGGACTCAGTCAGGGGGAGAATGAGAACACTGTTCCTTCCAAAGAATCTTCTCACTAATGCAACCCAGCTGCTGGGCAACTATGAATGCCTCCTGGGGAATGTGTCATTCAAGGCCCCTGACCTTCTATCCATCCAGTAATACATTCCAGGGAATGGCTTGGAGTCCAGAAATCTATGTCTACTTTCAGGTTGTGTCAGTAACTCAATTTGTGATCTCAGAACTAACCATTTACCCTATCTGGCCTCAGCTAGCCTGTAACATGGAAATCATATTCTTGTCCTTACTACTCTACAGGGGTGTTTCCAAGCTAAAATGTTACAATGTCACAGGATAAATACATTTGGAATAAAATAATTTATTCAAGTAAATTCTGTGTTAATATGGCTTAGAAATTAAAAGTCCAACCCTCACCCTCCATTCCTAATTTTTAAAGAATACAGTAACTTTAAACATTGCTGATCAAGAGTTTAAAACCTTCTGAGTAGTTGCTGGCCTGACCCTAAGTTAGGGCTGGCAAATTTCCTCTCATCAGTTAGGGCCCTCAAGGCCATAGTGTGGGACTGAGCTATCCCTTAGGTTTGACCTAAATCTCACAAATTGTACTAAACTATTCAAACACAAAAACACTAGGAGCTCTGGTGGCATAGTGCCTAAGGCATTTGACTATTGACCAGAAGATAGCAGCTCAAATCCACCAGCCATTCCTCAGAAGGAAGACTGAGCAAAATATGTTCATAGAGATATTGCCTTGGAAACCCAAGAAGGGGTTGCTATGAGTTAGGACTGACTCAAAGGCAGTGAGTGTTTTTTTGGTTTATTCAAACACTGGAGTCCCTGGGTGGTGCAGTTAATGAGCTTGGCTGCTAACAAAAAGGTTGGAGGTTTGAGTCTATCCAAAGGCACCTTGGAAGAAAGGCCTATCTACTTAAAAAATTCAGCCACTGAAAACCCTAGGGAGCACAGTTCTATTCTGACACACATGGGTCACTATGAGTCAGAATCGACTCAATGGCAACTGGTATTCAAACATTTATCAAGTGTCTATAATGTGCCAGTTGCTGTATAAGGCCCTGGATACAAAGAAAAATAAACCTCTACTCCTCCTCAAGAAGAACCCTCTATACCTCCCAAAAAATCCACTGCCATCAAGTCAATTCTGACTCATAGTGACCCTACAGGACAGAGGAGAACTGCCCCATAGGGTTTCCAAGGCTGTAATCATTCATGGAAGAATACTGCCACCTCCTTCTCATACAGAAAGGCAAAAACTCCAAAACCAAACTCACTGTCATCAAGTCGATTCCAACTCATAACGACCTCCATTGCGTTTCTGAGGCTGTAAATCTTTATGGAAGTAGATTGCCCTATCTTCCTTCCACAGACCTTCTGGTTAGCACCCAAATGCCTTATCCACTACACCACTAGGGCTCCTTGCTAGTAGTGGGTTTGAACTGCTGATCTTTTGGTAAGCAGCCATGTGATTTAATCACTGTGCCGCCAGGGCTCTTTACATCCTATCAGGGAAGAAAGTTACCTCATTTGACTGACAGCAGATAATAAAGGTGATAATAATTACAGTTCCTTCAAATTGGGCTCAGGTAAAAGATAAATAAAAGATAGTATCATTAGAATGGTAATTAATGGAGGCTGCAGGGTAATGTCAAAATGAAAAATTCCTGTCAACCTCAAGGTGAGGAGGTGAGTGGGGAACTAATATGCATTGAAAATCTATCAGGGGCATGGAACTTTACAGTTATCTTCTCATTCTATCTTTACCATCTTCATATGAATGAAGCAGATGCTATCTCCACTTTTCAGGAGAGAATAATGAAGTCCAATCAAGACCCAAATCTACTAACTAAAACTTATGTTCTTTCCACTACACTTGCTACTGACATAACTGGTATTTTTTTTTTAAAATTTTTTTTTAACATAGCTATATAACCCACTGCCATTGAGTTGACTCTAACTAACAGCAATCCCCACAGGGTTTCCAAGGCAGTACATTTTTTCAGAAGTAGTAAATCTTTTTGGAAGTACTTCCATGGAGTAGGTCATGGGTTTGAACAGCCAACCTTCTGGTTAGCAGTCAAATGCTTAAGCACTGTGCCACCAGAGCTCCTTACATACTGTATACTTGCCCCTAATCACTTCAGGGCAGCCCTGAATCACAAATCTATGTAACTTGAGAGCATCAACAGAACAATAAAGAGACTGCATGTGTCAGTGCTTATGTTAATCCCTTTGAATTTTATAATCCTTTTGCCCATGCCTGTTGCCTGCTACTGATGAAACAGGTATTTCTCTACATAAACTATGACAATCCCACCATCCCCATTTCATTTAGCTGATTCCTTCCTTCTTTAAAATTTGGAGAAAGTTCCACCAACTCTAGGACCTCCTCCATTAGCCTCCCCTACTTCACTTTTATCATGGCATTTCTCATGCTATGAAAAGACTTGCCTACCAGTCCCTTCATCTCAAACAATGTGAGCTCCCAAGAACTGTATGCTTTCTGACCTGGCATATAATAAGTGCATCTTCCACTTAAACTAGACCTATCCTAGACATCAAGTTCATTTAGTCTTCCCAAGGTCAATAGCACTGCTTATCTATTATTTTTTTAAATAAAGATTGTTACCTCTTTTTCCAAATAAACCTTTTTATCGTCCAGGGTGTTATATAAAGTGAAGAACTGCTTGGTTTCTTTGTGGACAGCTGAAACTAAATGCAAAGAAATCACATGAATAAAGAAATGTATTAAAAGGACTCTAAGATACCCCTGTTCCAATGAAGTATACCCCTAGGACTCAGGTCTGCCAGAGCAGGGCATTTGCTCTGTCAGGTCTGTGCAAAAGCCCCAGAGCATGTGAGAGTCTTTAGCCAGCTGATGCAGGCTAAGGGCTCATGGCTAGTTGTTACTGGCCCAACCAAAAGCCCAGTGAGGGACCAGAAGAACCTCCATGTAAGGGTATGGGGCAGGTGAATATCTCAGAAATCCTTCAAGTGAGGTTTCCTGGAAAGAAGATGGCAAAGGTGAGGAGGTCACAACACCTCTCCCTAATGGTACAACCTGAGATGACAGGAAACAATAAAGTCTCGCTGGTCGACAAGATTTTCCAGGTACTAAAGAAGCATTTAAAAAGTCCCAGGGACTTCACCCAAATTACAAAAAAAAAAAAAAAAGATAAAGTACAAAAAAAAAAGTCCCAGGGAGAAAGAGATAGATGAGCCATGCCTGCAGCTCAGAGAAGCTGGGAATCAAAGTGATGGGGGAAAGGACCTCAGTATGAGTCATGGGTTGGCCTCTCGTGAGCTCTGAGACCATAAGCAAATTACTCCGCTCAGGAGACTACTCCCTAACCTGCAAATGGAATCTCATGATTTGCCACCTCACAGAGCAGTTATGAGAATGGAGGTAATGTATGTAAATGATGGTGGGCCACTTCTTCTGGGTAACTTCTCATCACCTGTGAACACTCAGTTCTGCAGTCAGTCACCTGCCGAAAGAAGACTTCGTGGGCTAGCTAAGGTGCCTAACCTGCATTTCTATAGCATCACACTATAGAATTATACTTACATACTATACTTTTCTCTTTGTATGGCTTTCTCTCTTCCCACACCTCTAGAAGCAGGAGCAACAGTCACTTTCATAATCCCAGTGTTTCCATAGTTGCTACTGTTAGTTGCTTTTGAGTCAGCCCCTGACTCATGGCAACCATGCACAATGGAATTCAATGTTGTCCAGTCTGCACTATTTCCATGAATTGCAGATCAAATTCTATAGTGTTTTAACTGGTTGATTTTCAGAAGGAAAAAATCCTTGGCCTAAAATAAGTTCTCAAAAATATCTACTAAATGAATGACATACCTATCACAGGGCAGAATAAGTGCCTAATAGATATGAATTCTTTTTCTATTCTTGGGAACAGCTATAGGAGGGGGAACTTACAGTTATCAAGGTGTGGTGAAATGAGTTCCTTTAAATGGCCTTTTATGTTGGTTATCTGGAAAAACACTTTGAGAGATTTTTTTCCCCTATGACCCAAGGAGTAACTTTTGACCTTGTTTTCTACCCCAGAGGGTTTGTTTCATTTCCTCAGTAAACTATAAACAACTTGGTTTGATACTTTTTGTCTGGTCTTGAGCTGCAGCCTGCTGTGTGACTGGTATGCACTTGCAGGGACTGGTCCATACACTATGCAAATGAAATGATTATGTACTATACAAATGAAGTGACTATAGCCTACTATGCATATCAAGTGTCTGTGGCCTACCAAGAGGAGACTGGCCAGTTTGTAGTCCCCCTGCTGGGAGAGGCTAAGTCTTGAAATTGACAAGGAGTTGTGTGTATGTGTGTGTGTGTGTTGTTGTTGTGTGCCGTCGAGTTGGCCCCGACTCAGAGAGACCCCTCCTTGGGTTTCCGAGGCAGTATCACTACGGAAGTAGATTGCCCAACCTTTTTTCTGATGAGTGGCTGGTGGGTTTGAACCAGCAGCCTTCTGGTTAGCAGTCAAGTGCCTTAGGCACCATGCTACCAGAGCTCCTGGTATATTTATACATATACATACATACATACATACGTATAGTGGCTAAGGCACTTGACTGCTAACCAGAAGGCCGGCGGTTCAAACCCACCAGCCACTCCCCGGAAGGAAGATGGGACAATCTACTTCTGTAGTGATACTGCCCTGGAAACCCAAGGAGGGGTCACTATGGGTCAGGTCTGACTCAATGGCACATAACAACAACAACAACATATATATACATATATATATATATATATATAAATATATATATATCCAATTTAGGCTTTTCAGACAGAAAGAAACAGGAAGACAGGAAACAGAAGTAGCAGAAAGGAGAAAGAAAGCAGAGAGGCAGCAAGGAACTTCCTAAAAGAGCTGTAATATAGATGAAGTGCTATAACGTATTAGACAGCAAGAGCCCAGAAGGAGCCTCCAGCAAAGTTGGTGGTGACAGGTCTGGAAAGAGCCCTGTGGCAGAGCCTCAACAGGAAGGCCAAAGGCAGAGAGGCCTGTCCTGAAGGGCTGAGAGGAGCTTGTCTTGAGGGAGCCACGAGGAGCTGAGAGAGCATCTGGCAGTGAAGAAGGGAAGATGTTCTCTCTTCTTTGGCGGAGCTTACAGACTTTCCCTACATGCTTCTTCATCCTGATCCTGGGTTGTAGCCTGTTAATCCTGATCCCGGGTTGTAGCCTGTTAATCCTGATCCCGGGTTTGGAGCCTGTTAATCCTGATCCCAAGTTGTATGCTGTTACTTCCTTAATGAACCACTTAACTCTGAGTATGGTCTCTGACTTCTGTGTGGCCACTGCAATGTATTATCGAACCCAGAGAAGAAGTAGTGTGCCATGGGGAGGGCAGCTCTTATCAGAATTGATAGAAGTTGAAGGAGGGTGGCATGTCTGACCTCCACCTCATAAGGATCAGCCTTGGGCTGATTTTGATTTGCACTATTCCCCACCCCCCACCGAAGTTACACAGGTTCTAATATTGCTACTACTTCTCCCACTATTTTACACAGGCTGCTAATGGCTTTCACCATGAAATTAATCTGCCTCTCTGTCCTCCTTCCCTTATTTACTCCTCAGTTAAGAAGAACAAATTATAAACCCAGCTGACCAAATGCTAGGAATGTAGGTGTGCCACATTCACCAGAGAATGCAATCATTAGGGTAAAAGTGTTACTATCCAAATATAGATTGTTCAAATTCCTTCTGTGTGTGGAGTAGCCCCACCTGGCCTTGGAGCCTGTGTAATCTCATCACTGCTCTAAATTCCCATATCTACCCCGATGGACACAAAACTCAGAGGGAGACAAATCCCCAAGAACTAGATTCAGAATTAAGCTTTAAATCTTAAGTACACATGATCCAATTTAGCTTTAACTAAACACCTTGGCCACTACCCATCTGTCAGTTTGCATTTGCTTTGATACTGGATGCTATATCATAGATATTTCAAATACCAGCAGGGTCACCCACAGTGGACAGGTTTCAGAAGAGCTTCCAAATACTAGAACTGTAGGTGTACCACATTCACCAGAGAATGCAGTCATTAGGGTGAAAAGGTTACCATCCAAGAATAAGAAGAAAGTCCTGGCAATCTACTTCCAAATAGCCAGTGGAAACCCTGTGGATCACAACAGAATATGGTCTGATATAGTGCTGAGAGTGAGGGCCCTGATTTTGGAAGGCACTCAAAACATACAGTGGCTGCAACAATGGGCTCGAGCCTATCAATGACTATGAAGATGGTACAGGGCTAGCCACAGTTTCATTCTGTTGCACATGGAGTTTTCATGAGTCAGAGCTGACTTGATAGTAAGTAACAACAACAAGATGGTGATGTCAAACAGTTCTCAGACACTGGCTCATAACACAGTGAGACCTGGCTTCTCATGTGGCTCTTGGTTCCCTGTCCGCAGGCTTCCCTCTGGGGTATCAGGGATGGAGCAGCAGAGAGAGGAGAGGCACAGTAGGCTGCGGGCACTTTAGGTTTCCTCTGGCTGCCATTAACATTTTACCTGATTCTTTAAATGAATTCGTCAACTTTTAACCTTGTTACCCAGTAATATCAGGCAGTGAAGCTCAAAGACTAGCGACTGGGGCTATCTGCTGTGTGTAGTATGTAGCAATAGAAGTTAATAGCCCAATACAAGTATGTTGATATAACAGTTTCAAAATGTCCCTATCAAAAGATCTCATTTGTATGAAAATTACTTTGTAAACTACTCTGTGTGAAGTATTACTATGTTTGCTAAAACCTTTAGAGCCCAAACCCACTGCCATCAAGTGGATTCCAACTCATATTGACACTACAAGATAGAACAGAACTGCCCCATAGGGTTTCCAAGGCTACCACATCTTCCTCCCATGGAGCAGCTGATAGGTTCAAATCACTGACCTTTTGGTTAGCAGCCAAATGTTTTAACTACAGTGCCACTAGAGTTACTTAAGCTTTAGAACAGTGACACTCAATCTTGGCTATAAAACAAAATCACCTGGGCAGCTTTTAAAAATGTTCATGAGCAATTAAATGAGAATTCCTGGAGGTGGGACCTAGGATATTACCAAGTAGCTGAAATAGAAGATCACTGATGTAAATAACTGGTCAGCCTTTCGCTTTCTTGCCCACAAATGTGTGTCAGCCTTACCCCACTCAGGTCAAGAACTGAGTGAGGGTTCCAGATATTTGAAAAGAAAAATAAAAGAAAAATTTGATACAGGTATTTTAGTGCAACTTGTTGGCTATGTCTTTGGTGCAAAAATGTCCTCATCAAAATGACTTTTTCATCTGTGAAATTCACTCTGTGAAACATACTGATATAAAGTGTTATTATTACTAGTAGCTTTAAAGGAAGCAGGGCTAGTAAATTAAAGGGAAAGATTTAATTTAAGATAGAAACTATTTTCTAAGAGACTGCCATTGTTACCTGTTTTTAATCATCTGAATCAAATGTTAGGACTGTATTAAATGTCAGGACAGTGGACTAAGACATGTGAAAGAAACATGATTCCGGATTCTTTAAATAAGGGCAGCCCTTGAGCTTGAACCAGGATTGATGTTTGAGAAGCCAAGACCTTAAGGCAAAGTCTGAGCTGGATTTTGAAAGGAGAGAATTCTGGACATGGGGAATAGCTCATGGGTCAGGATGCAGATGTGCAAGAAGGGGTGGCACCAAGTGACAGCGGGGAAGCTGAAAGCTTATGCCAGGCCCATGAAGGGCTTTGAACAATATATTTAGGCTTCAAAATTATCCAAGAAGTTATGGGGAGCTACTGGATATTAATGATTTTAATGCAAGTGTATAAAGTAATCAAATTTATGCTTGAGAAAGTGCTCTCAGATGACTATAGAGAAGGGATTAGACTTTGGGCACAGATGAGAAGCAAGTGACTGTAATAGTCTAGAAGTGGATTTGGATAGTATTAGGAAACAAAACTGGGAGAGCAGTGAGAGTCGGAGATGATTAACAGGTATCCAGCTTGGCTCAACAGTGACAACAGTAACTGAGTGGAAAATGGGAGGCAGGGCAGACTTGGGGAAGAAAGGCTGGATTCAGTTTTATACATGCTGATTTTGAAGTGTCCAGGGGACATGCAAAAAATAGGTGCCCAGAGGAAGGGGTGATTCGTTCTTGCCCAAAGAACTCATAAGGGGTTACTGATGGTATCTCACCTGGATCTTGAAAGGTTTTATCTAACACAGGAGAAGGAAGCCCAGGCCCAGGGCAGAGGAAGAGTCAAGCCTTAAGGTATGAAAGTGTGTGATATGCACCTTGGAGAGAACAATCATGGGAGAAAGAAGGGTTGCTTATGCACAGGGAGACAGCTCAGGGGGCAGGAGTGTATGGAGGGATGGACACTGGGAAGAGGTAACTATGGGAGGGAAGTGGGAGGGGAGCTGTTGCATTGTGGTAAACTGTGGTCAATGATATGAGACAAAGTGTATGTGAACTGCTGTATGGAAGTGAATTTGCTCTGTACATCTACACCCAAATCACAATTAAAAAAAAAAAAAAGAAGGAAAGAAAGTGTGATATGCTCTGAGGCAGTGTGCAGACTAAGGAGGCTGGAGTGAAGGTTTGTAGGGATCAGAAAGGAGGCCTCACAGAGTGGGGAAGATTTGGGGCACATGGTAAGGAAAGAGGCTTTATTTGGTGGGTCTCAAGGAGCTCCTGAAGATTTGTCAGCAGGGAGAAAAGCAGCATAAGCAGATATATGGATGAGGGATTGGGGAATGAACTGAAGACTAAATCCAAAACCAAACACACTGCCATTGACTGGATTCTGACTCATAGTGACCCTATAGGACAGAGTAGAACTGCCTCTTAGGGTTTCCAAGGCTGTGAATCTTTACAGAAGCAGACTGCCTCACCTTTCCCTGGTGGAGCAGCTGGTAGGTATGAACCACGGACCCCCTGGTTAGCAGCCAAATGCTTTAACTACTATGTCATCAGATTGCAGATTAGCTATGGCAATTCAGCTTAGATATGCTGTTAAGAACAGATATGACAGGATCAGTCTGAACAGAAGAAATGACAGCTCTTAGGCCCATTCTGAACCTGAGAGACCAGTTCACTGATTTCAGGCTGAGGAAGATCCAATCCTGGATTACTAGGTGATTATGATGCTGTTAAAGGCTAGGCCACATCAGGAAAAATTTATAGTGGAGAACAAAGATGAGTGAGGACTACTAGTGATGAAGGAGACAAGATGCTTCATGTAAAGTTAGAAAGTGAATTGGGAGCACAGAGAAGGGCAAATGGCCAACCAGGAAAAATGTTGGTTCAAAATGTTACTCTAAGAGCTCAAAGAATCTGTCCTTGGAAAGGGTAGTAGGAGTCCCACAGTGCTGCCACCAGGATTATGGGTCACCCATCATGGGTGTGACTATGATGAATGAAGCCATTTCCCATGGTGGCATTTACAGACTGAATAGTGATGCCCTCACCACTGTGTTCAAGTGGACAAACCCCTCAGTGCCTCCAGTCCCTCCCAGTGCCACCTTTAAGAGCTTGTTCATGGTTGATGCACCTACTCTGGCGGTAGAGTTCAATAAATCTCTTCTGATACTGTATTAGCTCTGCTCGGCTGGGTACTTCATCAATCTTGCGGTGCAAAATTGCGATTTCTCGATTTCTTCGTGCCTAAATGTAAAATGGAGGGGGAGACACACTGTTTAAAGGCCTTATGGGGGAGCTAAAATATCGCCCCCTCCAATCTGGGCCCAACCATCCTTCTGGATTGCAGGCGTGACATTCTGCCAAAGGCTGGGTGTCCTTGTCTCAGGTTTTGACTGGTACACAGGAGAAGCTATGGCTGTGAACTGGAACCCAGAATTATCAAATTAGTGGGTAAAGAAAGGAGATTCTGAATCCTGAATGGGAAGGGCTTTTGTGCACAGAGCCCCTTGCCAGCCCATCATACTACAACTGATTCCACCAAGTCTGGATGGGGAATAAGGAACAAAAGGAATGTTTCCCAGATGACCAATGTCACTCTGCGACTCCAATTCCAAACCCCTTACCCTCACTGAAAAACCCCTATGGCTTACTCCTAAAATACATTCCCAGCATTACCTCCCTTCCATGGACTGGGGGTATATTAGCCAGATTACTCCACTGACTGCGTGGTGGAGGCTCAGTGTGGGGTGCAGGAAACCTCAGGCCCCTGAGGCAGGCAGCTCTAAGGGAATACCCACCGCCTTCCCCAAGGGCAGCTACAAGCAGGAGGGAGGAAGTCCGTAGCCCACATGCCACCTCTGCCACTCACTGATGATCTGAGGACCAGAAGGGCTCTCAGAGCCGTCTTCTGTCCTCATATTCTCCCACTCTCCCCTCTCCTATCTGGCTTTACTTGCAGCACTATATTTGGTCTCGGAGTCACTGGGAAATAAAAGTCTCCAGGTAGAAAACCCACCCATTTCTGCCCCCAAACCCAAAACAGAATCTCTGTTCCCCTGGTTTGGAGAGATGCATTTCTCCTTTTGGCTAAGGCTGTGTGGATGCTCTGACTCCTATTTTTTCAGGAATCTTAAGATAAAATTATCCACTCTTTCTATTAGATCTTTAACCCCTTCCTTTCTACTAGCTCCTCCCCATCAGCATTTAAATATGCTCAAGTCCCTCTCTTCTTAAAACAAAACAAAACAAAACAAAAAAACCAAAAAAAACCTCCCTCACACTTCATCACTTTTCATTTACTATTCTCTTTCTGTTCCCTTTTGCAGACAAACTTACTGTAAGCCATGTAGTGTTATGGTGCAAATGGTTAAATGTGTGGCTGCTAACCACAAAGTTGAAGGTTCAAGCCTACCCAGAGGCACCTTTGAAAAAAAGCCTTGGCTATCTACATCCAAAAAACCTGTTAAGGAGAACAGTTCTACTCTGACACACATTGGGTTGCCACGAGTCAGGGTCAACGCCATGAAAATCGGTTCACCATGCTTTCTTCTGAGCTCTCTGCCCAGCTTCCATGAGATCTGCCTGTTGTCCCCTCTAGTTGCTTGGTCTCCTCCTTTTCCCCTGCCTGTCCTCACATGCCATGCTCACCACAGCTTAGCCCCAAGGCCTCTTGCCAATCTGTGTTTTCACAGCCTCAGTTATCACCAACACAGTACTGACAACAAATCTCCAGCTCAAATAGTTCTGAGAGCCATTCCTGCACACTCATTCCCTTCTCAGGCATTTCTACTTGGTTGAGTACCCCAACTTTTAAAAGCCCCAATAGATCTCATTAATATTTCTATTTATACTTCCACCCTGTTCTTCCCCTTTATGCTTTTTCTCAATTAATGATACAAGCATCAACCCAAATGCCTAAGTCAGAAATTTGCCTGTCATCCTTGACCCCTTTTTCTTCACCTGATCAATTCTAAACCTCATTGGATATTCCTGACAGTTCTTTTCTGTCCATCCCACTGCCACAACCCTGGCTTAGGCGCCCAGCAGGCTAACTGGTTTCACTGAAGAGTCTCTCTAGCAGGAGCTGAAACTGCCCTCACTAGGAAATTTGTATATAAACTTCCCTCTACTTTGACATATACATGGATATGTTGTGTCGTTGTTGTTACGTGCCATTGAATTGGACCCTACTCATAGTGACCCCTCCTTGGGTTTCCAAGGTGGTATCACTATGTAAATAGATTGCCCAACCTTCCTTCCAAGGAGTGGCTGATGGGTTTGAACCACCAGCCTTCTGGTTAGCAGTCAAGTGCCTTAGGCACTACGCTACCAGAGCTCCCATAAGTGGCCATATTGGTTCTCCAACAGCCAATCAGCTCCCACAAGATGGGCATCCCATTTACTATTCCCAGGACTTAATGCAATGCTGAATGTACAGGAAACAATCAGTCAGTTTCTAAGTCTGCAACTATACTGTCCTCATTTTATTTAATTCTGTGCCCTTTAAGGACTGGTACAGTGTCACTATATCAAGAGCAAAACTGACTAACCCAATTTAACCATACAGCTTAGCAAAATAAATAGGAGTCAGTGAGAGGAGAAACAGGGTCACACTGGTCTCTGCTGCCCTTTGGTAATCCCCACTAGACTCCGGCCTTCTTTTCCTATGGAAAAGAATGAAAACCCAAGCCAAATTACAACTAAAAACAAGTTAAATCTTGGCTTCTGAGCTTCCATGAGCCAGCTACTGAAAATATAGAGTTTCAAAATGTCATTTTGACTCTAAGTGACTTTAGCTTAAGAACTCACTTTAAACTGACCCCTTCCATATTTGAGGCCACTCTCACAAACCCACAATGCTGTCAAAAAACAGCTTAAATGGTCATTTAATATTAGAGGAAATCACTAGACAAGAACATTGGAACTTGAATCCTAACTCTTGTACTTACTGATACCTGTCTTTCCCATTGGGGTCAATATCTTTATACAGAAAATGAGGCTAATGATACTTATGCTGACTTGAGGGTAGGATTAAATTGAGATGACTGTGAAAGTAATATGCAAGTTACTATCAATAACTTAAATCACTGAGTTACACTCCAGATGGCACACTGGTGAACAGCAGTCTTATCACCAAGTCTCTCTACCCAGCACTGGCATCAAGTAGATTCTGACTCATAGCAACCCTACAGAACAGAGCAGAACTGTTCCAAGGCTGTAAATCTTCATGGAAACAGACTGCCTCATCTTTCACCTGTGGAGTGGTTGGTGGATTTGAACTGCTGACCTTTTGGTTAGCAACCAAATGTTTTAACCACTGCATCACCAGAGCTCTGTATCTCTCTATTTCTTAGATACTGAGACTTTCTATTTCCACAACAGGCAATTCATGTCTGTTATTGTTGTTGTTGTTGTTAAGTGCCATCGAGTTGGACAGGACTCACAGAGACTCCTCCTTGGGTTTCTGAGGCAGTATCAATATGGAAGTAGATTGCCCCATCTTCCTTCTGAGGAGTGGCTGGTGGGTTTGCACTGCTAGCTTTCTGGTTAGCAGTCAAGTGCCTTAGGCACTATGCTACCAGAGCTACTAATTCATGTCTAGTTTAGTGTATTTACGTACTTCTTTTCTTTTTGGTTCTTGTTTTCGCTCACCTGTAGTAAACGGATTTTGTAAAGTTTCTCTTTCTCCATATTGTACCGTCTGTCTAGGTCTTCCTAAAAATAAGAAAAGACCAGTTATCTGGGTATAAGGAACTTTCATTCTTAGATGAAGTCTTTTGAAGCTATGTATGTTTTTATTCTCATTATCCATCTTAAGTCCCCAAATTTGTTTTCTCTAATGGCAGAGATACATTGTTCCCAAAATTTTTTTTGCCAGTGACATAGGACCCACACCCGAAACTGGATTATGCTGAGTGTTTTTCTAATGTTGAACCCAGCTTTGCATACCTAGTATGAATCTCACTTGGTCATGATATATTACTTTTTGATATATTGTTGGGTTCTACTGGCTAGTATCTTGTCAAGATTTTTTGCGTCAACGTTCATGAGAGTCATTGGGCTGCAATTCTCTTTTTTTTAGTGATGTCTTTGCCGGGTTGTTTTATCAGGGTTATGCTTGCTTTACAGAATGAGTTCATCCTTTTCCATGCTTTGGAATAGTCTGAGTAGTACTGGTGTCAGTTCTCGAAATGGTAGAATTTGCCACTGAAACCATCTAGGCCAGGATATTATGTTGGGAGTTTTTTTTTTTTTTTAATGACCTGTTCCATTTCTTCTTTCATGATGGGTCTGTTAGATTTCCCAACTTAGACTGTACTCTGTTATTATCTTTTTTATTTCAGTAGGTTCCGTTGCCTATTTCATTTCTTATTTGTCTTATTTACCTATTCTTTTACTTTATTAAATTTGAGAGTGGGGTGCCACTTTTAGCAATCTTTCCAGGGAAACAACTTCTAGTCTTCTTGATCCTTTCTATTATTGTTTCATTTATTTCTTCTTGACTCTTTATTTTTTCCTTTCTTCTGGTGAATGTAGGCTTTTATTCATTTTTTTTTCTGTTCAAATTGTTGGAAATGTTGGGTTAGGTGATGATTTTGATTCTTTCTTCTTTTTCGATGTATGTGTTCATTGCTACAAGTTGTCCTCTGAGCACTGCTTTTGCTAGGTCCCATAGATTTTGATATGTTGTGTTTTTGTTCTACTTTAATTCAAGGAAGTTTTTAATTTCATTTTTGATTTCTTCTATGATTCTACAATTTTTAAGTAAGGTGTTATTCAGTTTCTATATTTGATTTTTTTTCCCCCCTTGATCTTCCTGTTGTTGATTTCTAATTTCATAGCACTGTGGCCTCAGAAAATGCTTTGTAGTATTTTGGTACTTCAAACTTTATTGAAGTTTGCTTTGTGGCCTAACCTATGGTCCATTCTGGAGAAATTTCCAAGCACACTGGAAAAGAATCTATATTCTGTGCTGTTTTGTGTGGAGTGTTCTGGATAGTCTATGAGGTCTGTGTGGCTGATTGTGTTGTTTACATCTTCTGTAACTTTGTTAAGTTTCTGCCTAGTTGTCCTGTCCTTCATTGAAAGTAATGCATTAACGTCTCCTACTATTATTGTGGAGTTGTCGATTTCTCTTTTCTATTCTGTTTAAGTTTGATTTATATACTTTGAGGCACTTTCACTGGGTGTGCACATATTATAGTGATTTCCTTTTTCCTTCCTTGTCTCTTTTGTTGGTTTCTTCCTTAAAGTCTATTTTATCAAAAATTAATATTGCCATTCCTACTCTTTTTTGGTTGCCATTTGCTTGATATGTTTTTCCATTCTTTGATTTTTAGCTTATTTTTGTCTTTGTGTCTAAGTTGTATCTCTTGTAAACAGCATATTTATGGGTCATGTTTTCTTATCATTCTGCTACTATCTGTCTCTTAACTGGTGCATTTAATGCATTTACATTTAGTGTAATTATTGATAGAAATGAATTTACTGCTGCCATTTTGTTGTGTGTGTGTATGTGTGGTACTGACAGATTCTTTGATATACTTTTCTGTGCTGAGCTCAATTTGTTTATAGATTTTCTATCATTTTTGTAATTAAAGTTTTACTGAACACTGCCATGCCCATTCATTTACATACCATGACTACTACAGCAGAGTGGACTAGCTGTAACAGACAGTCTTTCTGTCTTTCCAACAAAGCCAAAAATACTTAGTAGCTGATCCTTTTCAGAGAAAGTTTGTTGACTCCTAGTTTATAGTATTATAGAGAGAGATGTGTGTTTCCTCTGCACTGCCCTGCCCCCTTCCCTTAGAGCCTGTGGGCTGCGAGCAGAAGTAGGATCAATGCAGGTCTCATGCCTTCTCAGCTGAGATGCTTCAACAATAGAAGAAAACACCACTAAAATGGTGGCTTTTAGGGCTGTCCCTGGTGTGATCCTATCCCCATCTGAGGAGCTAGGTATGTAAAGTAAGATGGGGCCAGATGTGTAAGATGGGACCATGTCACACATATCCCCCTGCCTTGAGGACCTAGCAGATGAAGAAGTTCTGATGGTGCAAATTCTATTAGGTAATTGTTAGAAGGAACTGAAAAACGGCTCCTCTCCAGCCCCCAGAGGACAGTGACAGTCGTGAGACAGGGCAGTACCTACATTATGAGTCATCACAGAGGTCAGGTCACCATGCGCCTCTCCACTGGTGAGGGTCTGAAATGATTAAAAAATAATAAATACCTTTTAGAATTGGGGGATGGGATAGAAGCAGAAGTCTAGATGTAGAAATGGGAGTAGAGAGAAAATGAAGCTAAGAAAAGCTTTGATGTTCACTGACCATGCCTGATGTCCACGGAGGGAATAGCCTGTCTATGACAGGCCCAGATTTTAAATTGTTCTCAAATGTCTGTTAGTTACATACTAGCAAACTAAACTGCAACTCTGAATGTGAGTAATAATTCCTCTAAAAAGATGTAACTGCTGAGAAGAGAGAGGTGATTGTCTCAAAGTCTGTGCTCTGTACAAACTTGGAAGCTGACTTAGCTGATGAGCCTCCAGGTTGCAAAGTTTAAAAAACTTTAAGGCAGACTGCTAGAGCAGGGTATGGGAGGCTGGTATCAGGCCACTCCCACATTCCATGGCCAGACCCTGCTATTTTCCTCCAGCAGTGCCCTCACAACTGTGAAGCTGTACAGCTTCACTGAAATGATACAACCTGGGCACAGATGGAGGAAGCATCACCCAGGCCTTTGTGCCCCTGCTGAACATGCCAAGGGTGCAGCTGATGCAGACTGTTGGGCTGAGTGATAGGCGTAGAGCTCTGGTGTTAGTTGGCTTGGACAAGTTTCTTCCCCTCCTTGAGCCTCATGTTCTCCATTTGTACGAGGTAGAGGGTGCAAGAGATGATTTCTAAGGTCACATTTAGATCTCATATCCTAAACACAGACATCCTCAGGAAATAAGTTTGCTTTGAATGAAATGTGACAGGAGAAAACAAAAACACAGGGACTCATACAATCTTACTTAGTGAGAGAAACAGACTATTATTTCCTCATCCTTATTTTTTAATTTAAGGTTTAAAGGAAATTCACACTAGCTCCTTGGATGATCAATCCCTTATAGCTCCTTGGATGATCAATCCCTTATCCAGAGAAACAGCTGATCAGACATGCTCTTTACACTCAAAATACCCCTGCATTGCCAGAGATATACGAACCCTATTTATTTGTGTTCCTTGCTGCTATGTGGGAATGGAGTATGTCTCTTGGCCGGGTAAAGGGTGAACTGGCTAAAACTCAAAAAACTCATTGCCATCAAGTCAATTCTGACTCATAGGAACCCTACAGGACAGAGTAGAGCTGCCCCACAGGGTTTCTAAGACTGTAAATCTTTACGGAAGCAGCCTGCCTCATCTTTCTCCTGGGGAATGGCTGGTGGGTTCAAACCACTGATCTTTTGGCTAGCAGCCCAATACTTTAATCATGGCACCAGAGCTCCTTGAATTGGGTAAAAGGAAATGAAATTTGGAGAACAGGTTGAGAGGGGACTGGTTCCTGGAACATCTCTTCCATACACAGAAGAAATGACAGCTGTATAATGTGGTAATTCTTGTCTAGGGCTGCTGTTATCCACACCCACTGCTGCCTTTTCCCTCCAGAGGGAAGAAGGGAGAGGAATAGAAATCAAAAAATATCATGGGATAAAAAGTGTTATTTTGTAATGTATATTCTGAGGACCAGATCAATCTTTTTTGCAACAAGCTGTTCGTATGCTTAGTGTCTACAAATCATTTCACTATGTAAGTCTTTTTTTTTTTTTTCAATTGTGACTTGGGTGAAAGTTTACAGAGCAAATTCACTTTCCATACAGTAGCTCACATACACTTTGTCTCATGACATTGACTACAATGCAACAGTTCCGCTCCCACCTCCTCCCCATAGTTACCTCTTCCCTGTGTCCTTTCTTCCATGTACTCCTGCTCCCTGAGCTGTCTTCCTGTGCATACACAGCCCTTCTATTCTCCCACGATTGTTCTCTCCAAGAAGTGTATCTACCTAATGTAAATGTTCACCACATATGCTTGTCTTTTGTTTGGCTGGAAGCCACAGGAGTGGGTTCAATTCCAGACCTGAAGGGCAGCTAGGGGCCATAGTCTTAGTGGTTCCACCAGGCTCTATTAGACCAGCAAACATGGTCTCTCTCTTTTTTTTTTTAAATGATTTTGAGTTTTGTTCCACGTTTTTCTCCCACTCTATCCAGGATCTCCTACATAGATCCCCCTCCTAGTGGTTGACAGTGGTAGACAGGCACCATCTAGTTCTTCTGGTCTCATCCACTATGTAAGTCTTAATAGCACTTAACTACTGTGAGAAGTAATTCAGAGCCTTTACCTTTTCACCTCCACCAGGTGTTCTTTCAGCTTTCAAGTTTTCTATTTCCTGCTGCAGTCGTATCATCTCCTCCTTTAAAAGCAATAAAAACATTAATAAAACTCAAACAAGCTAGTAGTTGGATGCAATTAGCTAAATTCTTCATTCAGAAGTCTTACTTTCATGTTTCATGAGTTTATGCTAGGACAAAAAGTCCATCCAGAATTAGTTGCCCCAGCATCGAACTTTAAGCCCCTGAGTTTTTTTTTGGGAAGGATATCCACAATTGAGGATATTTCAATTCAAAGGGCCCTTTCTTTTTAAAGGACAGATTAGGCAAGCAGCAATCGCTGAGAAAAGAAAAAGCAGTTTAGAGACAAATTCCAATGGACCTTATCTGCTGTCTCCTCACAGGCCTGACTCATCCACTTGTCGACCTTACCTGGGGTCCTCCCAGCCAAGAACTTGCCATCCCACCTCGCTTTAAGGAAGATCCAGCTTCCTTTTGGTTCCTATGCCAGTGGTCTCTCCAATTCCATAGTTCACACAGAATCATCAGCCTCACTTACAGCCTTCTGCTACAGCTACCTATGTCCACACCATACCCAGTACAAGACCACAGTTCCTAGGTGGCATGAACAAGGGCCTGTTTTAAAACATCCCTGGGTTTGTATGACTTTATTCACAAAGGCCATGTACCAACAATACGATGTATTTTTAAAACTGTTAAAACTTTTCTTTTAAATAGATTTATGTAAGAACACTCCAACACCTCAGTAACAAAAAGACAAACAATCCAATTAAAAAATGGGCAGAAGACATGAACAGACACTTCACCAAGGAGGATATTCAAGCGGCCAACAAACATGAAGAAATGCTCACGATCATTAGCTATTAGAGAGATGCAAATCAAAACAACAATGAGATACCATCTTGCTCCAGCACTAGTAGCAAAGTTCAACAAGACAGAAAATAACAAATGCTGGCGAGGTTGTGGAGAGATTGGGACTCTCATACACTGCTGGTGGGACTGTAAAATAGTACAACCATTGTGGAAATCAGTACGGCAATTCCTCCAAAAGTTGGAATTAGAAGTACCATTTGACCCAGCTATTCCATTACTAGGTATATACCCAAAAGAAGTGAGAGCCATGACAAGAACAGATACATGTACACCCATGTTCATCACAGCACTATTTACAATAGCCAAAAGATGGAAACAACATAGGTGTCCATCAACTGAGGAATGGATAACCAAACTATGGTACATACACACAATGGAATACTATGCAACGCTAAAGAATAATGCAGAATCTGCAAAACACCGCATGACGTGGATGAACTTGGAGGACATTATCGTGAATGAAATAAGTCAATTACAAAAGGACAAATATTGCGTTAGTCTGTTGTTGTGAAAGTTAAGGAAAGATTTATCCATTGAAGGAAATTTTCTTTGTTGGTTACCAGGGGTGGGAGGGGAGGGAACGCTGTTAGATAGACAGAGATAAATATTGATTTGGGTGAAGAGAAGGGCAATGTACCAAATATGAGTGACCAATATGGCAGCACTGAGGATGAGAAAGACACAGAGAGGTACATGGGAGGTACAGACAACAAATATGAACCCTTTTGCACATACAGTACTGCATTATCAGTGAAGGCAAACATGGGTATATGGATGGATAGGTGGACAGGCTAAACGATTAGGTATGTCTATGAAATGGGGAGTGTATCCAAGAACATATATAGGGTTGGCAGACAATGGTCCTATAAGTTTATGTGAATGATCAGAATTCCCAGGTGTACAGGAGAGCTGACAAGGGGCAAGGTTGTGGTCACTGCTTGGTCACAGCCAGCTACCCAGAAGGACCGAGTAGTTGAACCTGTGGGCTTGGGACCATAGTCACAGGGGACATCAAGCTCAATTGGCATAACATACTATACAAAACATTGTTCCACCTCCTACTTTGGCGAGTAGCGACTGGGATCTTAAAAGCTAGCAAGCTGCCATCTAGATGCAACAATGGGTCTCTCCTCGTCAAGAGCAAAGAAGAAAGAAGAAAACCAAAATACATGGAGACAATTAGTCCTAGCGACTGGTACACCATCTGATCTGCAGCCTATGCAACTATGAGACCAGAAAAACTAGATGGTGCCCAGCTACCACTGTCATCCACTTGGAAGCAGATCTATGTAGGAGATCCTTGATAGAGAGGCAAAACAATGTGTAACAAAACTCAAAATCATTTGGAGGAAAAAAAAAAAAAAACACGTGGGGACCAGGTCTGCTGGTCCGATAGAGCCGGGTGGAACTACTGAGACTATGGCCCCAGCTGCCCTTCAGGTCTGGAATTAAACCCACACCTGTAGTTTCCAACCAAACAAAATACAGGCATGTGAGTTAAACATTTACCTCAAGTAGATACACGCCTTGGAGAGAACAATCATGGGAGAAAGAAGGGCTGCTTATGCACAGGGAGACAGCTCAGGGGGCAGGAGTGTGTGGAGGGATGGACACTGGGAAGAGGTAACTATGGGGAGGAAGTTGGGGGGAGCTGTTTCATTGTGGTAAACTGTGGTCAATGACATGAGACAAAGTATATGTGAACTGCTGTATGGAAAGTGAATTTGCTCTTTAAATCTTCACCCAAATCACAATAAAAAATTAAAAAATTAAAAAAAAAAAAAGTTTTATGTATTAGAAAAATATTGTTTTTTAGAGCTTGCACTCAGTTTTGAGGTTTGGCACATATAGTTTTAATCTAACTCACTTCTGGTATCCTTGGCGGCTACTTACCCTTGTTCTATTCATTTTGTGCAAGTGATACGTGACTGCCCAATGAATTTACATTTTAAACTGGATCAGGAATAATAAGATACTACATCAGGTCTAGGGGACGTAAACCGAGAGATTTTACAAGAGTTTTAGTCTAATATGCGCCAACACCAAGCAACACTTACTCGACAATGTGCTTTAAACTGCTGTTCCTGGCTTTTCAGATTTTCATTCATGGCAACAAGTGCTCTCAAGCTCTGCAGGATACTGAAGAGAAAAGATCAGAAATATCAACATTATGATATTATGGATCACAGCTGAAAGCAGGTCTCCAGCTAAAAAGCGATCCTCTTTTTTATTTAATTTCCTTTGTCTCCCCCAACACTGTCTAATGGGTTCTCCACAAATGATAACAAGTTCCACTGAACTGACATTATTGTTTATTTATATGCCCAAGCCCATCAGACTCAAACAAATATTACAAATTCCAAAATTAAAACATCAGCTGTAGAAACATCAATGAGTTCCAAGAGAAATTGATATACTTAATGATGTCAATTACTCAACTGTACTGACAGCATATATAGTATCGAAAACCATTTTTAATATCAACTCTGTAAAGGAAACAAGTTGCTTAAGGCCATTAAAAGCACTAATTTGATAATAAAAACGTCAAGTATCTGACAGAGCTTTGTTCCATATCATGAATGGAGGGTTTCTAATTACAGGGCCAAGTACTCTGTGGGTAATTCTTTACTGAAAATATCCATCAAACCCAGAACTACTCATTCTGTGCCTGAACATTTTATGATTTTGCAATGTAATTCAAATGAGTGACACCTAAGAGATTTTACCACCCACAGAGAGCTGGTACCAAAAAGGCCAAATATATGTGCTTCCTTTCATCTAAGAAAAGACAATTAATTTGACATGGAAAATAAATAAAATAGCAGCTGTTCCTTGGCTGAGAAAAAAAGACTGCACCTTTACTCTCAAGAAGATGAGCTAAAATGTGTGCTGTTAAAAAAATGGTGACAATAATTGACTTCAAGGAAGAGAACTGGGTGGCTTGGGGCTGGAGTAGGAGGGAGGCTTTTCACTGTGTATCTTTTGTCCTGTGAATATATTACATTTTAAATATATAAAGAAAACAAAAATGTGCAGCTTCTGATCACAAGGGGGACTGAGAGGAAGAGGGTGGCCAACTCAGTGCAACCCAAGTATCTCGCGGCAGAAGCCTAAACGATGGGGATCCAGGAAGGTCATTCTGGCACAGAAGGATGTGAACAGTCTGCATCAGCATGTAAATTAACAGATCTGTTCGAGGCCTGAATCAATGACCCTTAGCTCCTCAGTGCTGTGATCAATAACACTAAATCACCAGGTTTGGGAAAGTTACTTTCTTCAAAGTGAAAATGAATGCTGGCTGAACCCTCTTACCTTGGATCAGCTTTGGATTCTATCTTCTCAAGGGCCGCTTGTTCTTTATTCAGTTTCTCACTGTAACTCTTTAACTATAAGAGAGAACATAGGCCCTGTTGCTAGGGGCATGATAGCATAGAAGTGAATGCTTCTGCTTTCTCCCGTCGCTCACATCTATACCCCACTTCCGACACAGTACGCTGAGAATATACTGGACAACAGAAATGGGATGGAGGTGGAAGGACCACATGGAAAGATTAAAACCAGGCCCTTCTCAACACACTGGTGATTAAAGAAACCTCAGCAATGGCTTTAAATTATAACAAATGAGTGGAAAGTCAAAGGTGATGCTGAGAGCAAGTGTCTTTCAGTATCAAGTGGGAAAAAGAAAGGGTGGTTATAAAATCAGACAGACCTAGGTTTAAATATCAGAATATCAATATAATGGCCATTAACAGGGATAGGGTTAAAAGCTCTGATCTTCTTGAACAATTCCACCGTTTTTTCTGAGGTCAATAAAACCAAACTGAAACCCGCTGCTGTCAAGTTGATCCCGGTTCACAGTGAGTGACGCGACAGGAAGAGTAGAACTGCTCTATAGGGTTTCTAAGGCGGTAATCTTTACAGAAGCAGACTGTCACATCTTTCTCCCATGGAGTGGCTGATAGCTTTGAATTGCTGACCTTACAGTTAGGAGCCAAGTGCTTAACCACTGCACGACCAGGGCTCCTTCTGAAGCAGATAATGAAGTTTAAATCAAAGAATTTTTCAAAAAACTCAGATTTTAATGTATAAAGTGTCCAGTTATATCATACAGTAGAAAACTAAGCAGCTATTAAACAACAACAAAAGGAATAAAGTAGCTCATTTATATACTGCTATAGCACGATCTCCAGTACCTACTGTTAGGTGAAGAAAAAAAGGTGCAATATCATGAACATAACATACTTCCAACTGTGTAGAAAGGAATGAAAAAGCATACACATGTAATTGCTTGTATATGCGAAAATACTCTGAAAAGATTTACAAGGAACTGGTTATATTGGTTGCCTCTGAGGAGGACATGTGGGTGGTTGGGACACAAGTTGTACTTTCTGAATTTTAAATCATGTGAATGAATGTATTACCTACTTAAAATACAGGTTAAAAAAAAAACTTCAAAGGGCTCTAATTGAAAATCACACAAGTTGTAGCAAACCTATCCTGCCTCAAGTCCCCCCAAAATCCAGATTATTACGTTGTAACAGAACTGAGTACCTCAAGGTACAAAAAAGATGGCCAGCAGATTGAGATGGACTAAAGACTACATTGTGGTGCTAATCAACCTAGGAAGGGCTTGTCTATAGGGTTGGGATCTGCATAAGGAACAGCTAGGTGGGTCAAGCAATGCACCCCGGCTCCCTAAACACAGGAGGTGGAGCAGGGTCCTGGACAACTGGTAATGCCCAGGAGAAATAGGGAAGTTCCCCATCCAGAGTATCAATGACTACTGCTGCTCCATCAAATAGCAGGTTCCACTTCAGAGCAATCACAGGAAACACGCTGTGTAAAAGGGATACAGCATCCACAGGAACTTTAAAATCAAAGATAAGCACACAACAGAGAATTAAGAACCATTTGAAAAAAAGACAAAACCATAAAAAAAAGTATCAACTCATCAAATGAATTCTGACCTGAAGAAACAGCTCATACAGCAAGAAAAACAGGACATTAGAATAGTTATAATTAATATCCTTAAAGAGAAGCAAGACGATTCTACATCTATTAAAAATAACCAACCTTACACAGAGGAAATTAAAACTGTGGCTGTTGAAGATAAAAAGTAGACAGGTTAGAACCCAGTGGCCTACGTCAAAGCAGGGGTCAGCCAGGGTCATGCCCTTCTTAAAGCAGCCACGCAACCTCTTCTAACATGCCATGTGCTGCCATCTGTCCTCAACCTTCCATGCCTTGTTTTTCTTTTCCTAAATTTATTGGAAAGACAGGTCTTCCCTGTTTTTCAGTGCTAGCAGAGTAACCCAGAAGGGCAGGCTGCTAAAAAGGTAAAACCGGTTTGGCATACTCATTTTGCCCAAACCTCTCCCTATACAGATAAGTAGTCTGAGGTCCAGAGATGAAGTTCATTACTTCTTTAGTATTCTTACCCAACCAATCTTCTTCATATGGTTGTTCAGCACAAGGTTTTACATAGCTTCCCATCTGTCTACAAGGGAATTAGTCTGACTATCCTATTAGCAATCTCAAAGACTCTGGGGCTAGACTACTTTTGAATCCTGGCACCCCACTGATGGTCTTTAGCAAGTTAGGTATATAGTCTATCTGCCTTGGGTCTCCCCAGGTACAGAACAGGGATGATTACAGTATGTTAGGAGGGCTATAGTGAAGATCCATGGACTAATTCAACTAATTTTTCCAGAGCACAATCAGTACATAGTAATTTAGTTGCTATTATGATGTCAGGATAGAAAGTTTAACTCTTATTATTGACTTACATCACATTCTCCATTTCTAGCACATGAAAGGGCCTCAACAAATACCTGATACAGTGTTTAGTACAAAAAGTGACTTTATAGTCATTTAGGATTTATATCCTAAGACATAAAAATGTTTTAGGAAATTGGTATCAAGATGTATTGCTCTTAATCTCTTCCAGACTGTTACAAAAAGATTGATTCATGATTTGACAAATTTCATGCCTAAGACTTAGCAGCATTACAAGCAATATTGCACGGATTGCTGTCCCCAGGAGTCTGCCATCTAAGCCATAAGGAATGCAGTCATAGAACAGCCATAAAGGAAGCTGATGTGTCCAAATGTAAGGCAGGCATCTTTAGAAAGAATAAAAACATTTTAAAAATTCTGATTATCATTCTTATGCCTGCCTTTTTCAAACATTCTGACAAAAACTGAAGACTAGTTCAGGTCAGAATCAAAAAGCTTTGTCAGTTTTATAGCAAGGTGGCGAACTCAGTGCTACATAATGCTGTAGAAGTAAGAATTTTAAATTAGATTTCACATAAAATTTTACTGAAGTCGGGACTGGACTGGTGTCAGAGATAACTCTGAAGATCAGTTATGCTCCCAAATGGCCCAGAAAGTTCTAAGTGGGGACATTGCTGTGAGGGCCTTCCAGAGCACAGCTATAGCATAAGCACCAGTATCACAATGACGGGAGTTTTCAGATCCAGATGACAACAGCTCTCTGTGGACACGCAAGCAACGGAAATGGTTAAACGCTCCTCATGACAGGTGGTGTCAGAGGTTAATAGTTTTCCTCACCTGGTATCCTAGGCAATCAGTAGTGGGAGGTAAGCAACAATATAATGCTGATGTGAGATGGAAGAGTTGCAAACTGAATTAGAAAATGAATCACATGGTTCAAAACATATTCCACAACTCCCCTCTTCCTCCTGTAGCTCTCTCTTCCCCATCCTACTAGGAGATAACTGGCATTTTTTAACACAAATGTAATACTCGATGGTTCTCCTCTTTCGAAACGAAACCCTCTCACTCTCAAAGAATTAGGCATCCAATTAGGAATTGGAGCTATTAGAAAACCTGCTTGAAAAGCAGGGGCCATTTACTGTGAACGATCTTTCCTGATCTTCTTTGGGGCCCCTCCCCTCTGTCTGTGAGGTCCACCTGCCTCAGGAAGCCTTTCCTAACCCTTGCAGCCCATGGTGATCTCCCCCACCAAAAATGCTGATGGTTGAGAACATGGCATTGTGGATAAAACTGATAACATTGGCCACACAATATCATGCAACTGTACTATGACCCGAGATGGGCTAGAAGCCCCAAAGGATGCAATCAGTCCCCTCCACACAGATCGATGAACCACAGCATCCCATTAGTAGTGTAGGTCAAAGACAAACTTGACAAAGTCCCAAAGAGGAAGGAAAATCTGCTCACCTCTGTCAGTGTTTTCTTCATTTCATTATATTTGGCTTGTAAGTTAGCATGACTTGCTTGCAGCTGTAAATGAAGAAAGATAAAGACATTTGCTCACTTGATCATCACAGCAGCACAGATGTGGGTTATGGAATAGAAGCTCTGGTAGCATAGTGCCTAAGGCACTTGACTGTTAACCAGAAGGCTGGTGGTTCAAACCCACCAGCCACTCCTCATAAGGAAGGTTGGGCAATCTACTTCCATAGTGATACTGCCTCAGAAACCCAAGGAGGGGTCGCTATGAGTTGGGGCCGACTTGAAGACACATAACAACAACATTGTACAGATGAGAAAGTAGAATCCTAGAAATATTTAAACTGAGCAAATATTGGCATTTTAGAACAGCTACCGACAACACATGAAAAACAAACAAAAGTGACATTTAATTAGCAACAATTATATATCAGACAGGCTGATCCTGGGTAATGAAAACAGTTCAGTGTGTTTGACTACTAACCAAAAAATTAATGGTTTGAACTCACCCAGAGGTGTTGTGGATGAAAGGCCTGGTGATGTGCTTCCAAAAGGCCATGACTTTGAAAACCCTATGGAGCATATTTCTACTCTGCACACAATGGGTTGCCATGAGTTGGAATCAACTCAATGGCAGTAGGTTTTTTTGTTTACATGACAGACAACGTATGAGGTATTTAGTATAAAGCGTATCACTGAATCCTTATAGTCCATGGAAGAAGACATTATTCTAATTTTAACAGATGAGGAAATAAAGACACAGGGGTTAGGTTACTTGACTAAAGTCTCAACTGATAGGTGACAAACCCAAGATTCAGATTCAGGCCTCACTGACTTTTCTATAAGGTGCCTATCAATTCAATTAAGGAACTTGCCCATTTACAGGACACAAACTGCATCTCAGCACTAAGGATTCTAGCACAGAGTACGGAAAGAAAGAAACATGACTGGTTGGCAAATTCTATCAGATAGAAAAAAGGATTCAGACTTTAATACCAAGAAAAAGAAAATGAATCTACCATTACTGCTCAAAGTTACACGACTATGAAGCGCTTGAAAATGTTATCTTGAAAATGTCAAGTTCTTTTTCCTAATTGAAAAAGTGTATATCTGTGCTAAGAATTTTTAGAAATTTATAAACATTTCTTAAAAAGCTCAAAGGGTTTGTGTACTTCTTTGAAAAAAGAAAAAGTAATGAAAAACTATCATCAGATGCTTTGGCTGTTCACTGGCTACAAATTAACAATGAAAAATTTATCCTCTATCTCAGTTGCCCTATCCTTGAACTTAATAAGCAACCTATTTAAGAATTATGTCACACTTCAGAAATCGTTAATTCTAAATTGTGCTTCTAGTTACCAGTCTTTGTGACTAATGAACAGTTATACTTTCAAATGACCTATCAAGAAGTCAACTCAAGCTGAGAGCAGATGTGGTAAAGGAAGAAGCAAGGTAACTGTGGTCTCTTTCTTTTCAACGGCAGCCATATGTGCAGTGCAAACTTTTACTAACCTGTTTGTGTAATTTGTAGATGAGAGTACTTCTGGTCAAAGTTTGTTTTTCTCTCAAAATCCTAGTGATTTAACTCTTGTAGTTCTTTTGGGACTTCAGGTAGAATGTCCTGGTATTTTCCTACCTGCTTCATTCACCTTTCTACCCAACTCTGACCCCTGCATCTACCTACCCAACCACCTACCTGATACTTATCAAATGCCTATTCAGCTCAAATGAGATGTGTGCGAGAAAGAGATGAACATGGTCTAGTCCTTGTTCTCAAGTAGCTGGACCAGTAAGTTTAGGATCAGCCATCAGAGAGATGCAAATGTAAACCACAATGAGATACCATTTCACTCCTACTAGGATGGCTAAGATTTTATGAAAAAACTAAAAAAAAAAAAAAAAAAAACACTAGAAAATAACAAATGTTGGCAAGGATATGGGGAAATTGGAACCCTTACCTAACACAAGATGGTATAGCAGCATGGAAGACAGTGTGGGAGTTCCTTAAAAAACTAAAAATAGTACTCAAATCAAAAACCAAAATCACTGCCATTGAGTCGTTTCTGACTCATAGTGACTCCCACTGGGTTCTGGAGGCTGTAAATCTTTATGGAAGTAGATTGCCCAGTCTTCTTTCTGTGGAGCAGCTGGTGGGTTTGACCCACTGACCTTTTGGTTAGCAGTCAAGTGCCTTATCCACTATGCCATCATAGCTCATAAAAATAGAACTACTATAAACCAAAACCAAACCAAACTAACTGCTATCGAGTCAAGTTCGACTCATAGTGATCCCCATTGGGTTTCTGAGATGATAAATCTTTACGGAAGTAGACTGCCCCCTCTTCCTTCCATGGAGCGGCTGGTGGGTTTGAACCACCAACCTCTGTTTAGTAGTCAAATGTCTTAGATACTGTGTTACCAGAGCTCCTTTATGACCCAGCAATTCCACTACTAGGTATATTCCTCAAACACTTGAAAGCAGACACTCAAAAAGAGACTTATATACCTATGTCCATTGCAGCAGTATTCACAACAGCCAAAAATTGGAAACAACCCAGATACCCAACAACAGATAAATGGATAAAAAAAAAAAAAAAAGTGGCACATACACAAAATGGAATACTTTTCAACCAAGAGAAAAGACTTGATACATACTACAGTATGGAAAGAGCTTGAAGATATGTTGAAAGAAATAAGCCAATCACAAAAGGACAGATAGTGTATGACCTCAATTATATAAAAAGGCAAGAAAAGACAATGTATAGAGAACAATGTTTATTAGTGGTTACCACGGGGGATGGCAGAGAAGGGAAGAATGGAGCTTAATATGATGAAAAATTTCAATGGTTAAGGGTTGAGTTTCACAGCCGATTATTATAATGACTTTCAATAAGATATACAGCTGTAAAAAGCTGAACTGGTAAAAGTTGTGTGACACATATATTTACAACAAAGACAAAAAGAAAAAGGAGGTGCTGAGGCTACTCATGTATAACCAAAAACTTCCTGGGATTTAGTTTCTTGGTTTGCAGGTTTAGGGTCATGTTTTCATGGGACATCCCAGTTAAATGGCCTAACAATGTATTTAGTTCTTCCGTTCTACCTCCTAGTTAGCTATGTAGTGCCTGTGATCTTACAAGCGTGCAAGCAGTTGTCCAAGGCACAATTGGTCTCTATTCACCTGGAGAAACAGAAGGAGGAGAGTCAGGAATAGGAGGATGATATGAAATGTGTGGCTCATTGCCTTCATGAAAAACTTGTCTTCTCTGCCATGAGACCAGAAGAATTGGATGGTGCCTGCCTACCATTACCAAATGTTTTGATCAAGGATTCCATAGAAGAATCCTGATCAAAAGGGAAAATGTAGAACAGAACTTCAAATTCTCCTGGACTTTACAATTTTGGGGGCCACAAAGGATGAATGAACCCTCAAACTATTGCCCTAAGATAATTTTTAAAACTTAAGCCAAAAATATCCCCTGAAGTCATCTTAGAACTGAACGACAGTTTAGCTTAGCTAGTAAAAAATGTCTGCCTTTAGCATTATGCTCTTTTAACAACTATCTATATGGGATTAAACTGACAAAACCAACTCCAAAGATTAGAGAGAACCTTAGGGGCAGTGAGTTTATAAGTAAGGTAGGAATAACTCAGAAGAGAAGGGTGAGAATCGTTGCACAACTTGAAGAATGTAATCAATTTCACTAAACTGTACATGTATAAACTGTTGATTTGGTATATGTTTTGCTGTGTATATTCAACAACACAATATATAAAATGTAGAGGAAAAAAAAAAAAAAAAAACTATCCTGTTTCTTCTCCTTTCCTGCCACCACCAGTTAAATCCATCAACAGTTCATACTTGAACTACTGCCTCAGCCTCCTAATGGCTCTCTCTGAATCTCTTCTTGTCCAAGTCCAACGAATTCATGCTCCCACAGCAAAGAGAATGGTCTTTGAAACATAACATTTCTCCCCTACTTAGCCCCTCCAATGGCTTCCATCATCCTTAACACGATTTGGAAGGTCCTGTGTGATCAGGATCTGCTGACCAGCTGTCACTCTCATCATGTTCCATGTATAAAACTAAAACTGGCAGGACCCTTCCTCTCCCAAGTTTTTGTTCATATTGCTCCATAAATTCAAACTTCATCTCCCCACTGCCCCCTACACCTCCCAGACTTCCTGCTGAGCCAATGCTTACTCTTATTCCCAGGTCCAGTCCTCTGAAGCCTGAGGCTAGGTCAGGTCTCCCTATTAGTCACTCTCTCAGCTCCTCATACTTCTCCATCAAGCACTTACCACAGCCATGATGAAATGATAATACATTTGTTTATTAGTGAATTGTCTTCCCAGTAGACCGAAGATTCTTGAGATCATGGATTATAACTATTCATTCATTCCCACAGCCTACTTCAGTGCCTGGCTCAGAGTAAACTAAACCAGCTGCCATGGAATTGATTCTGACTAATGGTAACCCTGTCTGTGTCAGAGTAGAACTATGTACCATGAGGTTTTCAAAGGCTGATTTTTCAGAAGTAGATCACTAGACCTTTCCTCCAAGCACAAGGTAGTGCTCAATAAATTGTTGTGAATTAATAAATGCTACCCTTGCCTCATAATCTTCTATAACAGAGGTTGGAGAACTTCTTCCATTAAGGGTCAGCTAATAAATATTTTAGGCTTTGCAGGCCATATGGTCTCTGATACAAACAGTCAACTCTACTATTGTAGCTTGAAAGCAGCCACAAACAGTAAGCAAACAAATGGATGTGGAAGTGCTCCCTTATTTATTTACAAAAATAGGTGGCAGATGAATTGGCCCAAGGGCCATGGTATGCTGACCTGTTCTCAAACCTTCTTTATTCATTCCACTTGAAGATCTTAACTCTTCCCCAATTTCTCCCTTCTTTGAAGAATGGTTTCATTTCACTTGATGAAATTAGAAAAAGACAACACGAACCTCTTCCAGATGTTTGCTCTTCTGTAGAATCTGCTTGTTCAAGGAAATGACTTTCCGACGATGTAGCTGGGAGGCTCCTAATTTTTCTGGACTATCTTCCGCTGACAGCTCAGACTGCTGTAGGAAAAAAGGATGACAAACCCAAAGGATTTAATTAGTTTACCTGGGGTCATGTGAAAGTTCTATCTCCTCAGTATGGGCAGAGCACTACTGGGCAGTCAGCCACAACCATACCAAGGCAGCTATAGGGCTGTGTACAAAACTCAGATCTAGGGAAGGAGATTCTGAGGCAACAACCAAAACCTCTATCAACAGAACTTGCATTCCGAGCAGATGGACCAGTATATGCAAAGGATAGGGATATATACCTGTGGTTATGTTGATATCAAATAGGTGACAGGGCACCATCAAAAGGTCTAAAATACAGGAATAACATAGTCGCATGAATATCTTCATTAAGAGCACTCTGGAGTGATCAAGAATGATGAATGGATCCATTTTCATGAATGTATTTTAAGCACCTGGTTAAAAAGTTTAACCATTCAGAAGCACTTATAATGAAAAGCAAGCCTCCCACCTCCATTTCCTTCCCACCCATGGGCCTACTCTCTATTTGTTGTTGCTGTGTTTGCCATCAAGTCAGATTCAACTCATAGCGACCCCTCCTTCGATTTCCAAGGCGGGATCACTACGAAACTAGATTATTCAACCTTCCTTCTGAGGAGCGGCTGGTGAGTTTGAACCACCAGCCTTCTGGTTAGCAGTCAAGTGCCTTAGGCACTATGCCACCAGAGCTCCATTTCTAATTTCTGTTTTCTTGGTGTTAAGAGAGGATTGTTCTGAGAGGGTTAAAAGTTGGTGATGTAGGCCAAGGAAGAAACTTCTGAAAATATGTAAGTGAGGAGGGTGTTGAGAAGAAGGGTTGGGCATGATACAGACTGTCAAGATTGGAAGCAGGGGGAGATTTCTGGATAGATTATGAGGCGAATGTGATGACATTTGCAAGAATGACAGTGGCTGAGAAACCATGGAAAGAAGTAATCAACTTGGTATAGATACTGAACACTTGCTCAAGATCTCAGTGAGAAGTTCAGGAAAAAAACAAATAAAAAAATTAAAAAAACAAAACAAAACAAGGTTGCCCCTCTTGCAATAAATAGGTGCCCTGAAAGGACTGGTTCCTGGATGATTACAGGCAGCTTTAACAAACAGTCAAATACTCATTAAGACCATAGTTCCTTTGTTATTGAAAGTATCCAAATCCAACCTTATCATTGATTTTAAGTCTAAGCACAACAAAATTGTTTGGGTACTGCATGTTTTAAGAGTGATCATGGGCTTGAAAGTCTGCAAGATTTACTCATGGGGAAAAGAGATGGGAAAGTGAAGAGGAGGAGAAATTGAACATAGTCACCATTCATTTTGGTTAAGGATTTTCCTGAATAATTCAGCAGCATCATCACCAGATGATATTTTGTTGCTTAACAACTCTGGAGGTGGGAAACAGCAGCAGGGTACAGCTGCAAAAAATGGTTAAATAAACAAATAAATATCATTTTCTATCTCCTGTATGGCTGGCCATAAAGGAAAAAGAAAGACTAGACATTTGCTATCAAAACATATCAAGCTTTGAAATTTGGAACTTTGCAAAATGTCAACTAATATACTCCAGCTTTTGGGATTTCTGGGATTCACAGCTAACTTTTTAAATGCATTTAATTTTATATATGCTGAGATACTCACAACCTGCACTCTAGGGGAAAAGAAACTTTCTGAAAATTATTTCAAAGGGGAAAAGAGAGACTCCCTCCATCTCTGAATCACTTGCCAGCAACAGAATTACTAGGCACTAATTATATCACCTCTACTTTGGCTTTATCATCCTGAACTATGTCATTAATTTGGCCCTTTTTGTTCATTATATATTTAATAGCTTTTTTCTTATGGCTAATTTCAGCTCTGATTTTAACATCCAACTCAGATTCCCTGAAACTGACTTCCATAGTTCCACTGGCATATCCTCAGAGCTTTTTATTTTACTAGAAGAATTGTATGTTTTCAATCTCATGATTTATTGATAGTTAAAATAGACTTCCCCATTCAATAGAATTATCCCACAAAGCAGGTCTCTATATTTGAAGTCAAGATTATTTTTGAGTATCCTGACCTCCTCCAGCTGCCTGTCTGGCTTTGGACTGGACCAGGTGGTGGGCAAGCAGTGTGTCACTAACTTCTCAGATGTACTTCTGTCTGTGGGAGACTGATGACCAATTCATCTCAACTCTATTCGGTAGCTCTGGCATGAGTTAGGCTACTTTTCCAACTCTTAGCTCAGGTTTTCCTGATGAACTCAGTATACTTTTATGGCTAAGGTCCCAAAAGGACTGCATTCCCTATGGAGCTTCCACATTCTCTTATTAGCATGCTTGGCAAACTCACAGCTTTGTTTTAAAACTACGATGAACTTCATTTACAGGAACCCTTCTTTCAAGAAAACCAGTAGCTATCTTTACATCTGGAAAGAGAATTTCCAGGCCATCCATCCATCCATATATATTTCTACCTGTCTAGGTCTGAATGATGAGCCACATGGTTCCTCTCAAGACCCTTTCAGAGAATGTACAAGGTCAAAAGTCTTTTCATTATAATACTATGATGCTATTTGCTTTATTTTCCTTTTTCAGTTTCACTCTCTCATTACACACATGGAATTATACAAATGCTACATAACATATGATGATGACGTTGCTATGATGTTAACACATAATGGGTTTATTATTGTTATTTGTAAATTAATTATAATATGTAAGTATAACCAAAACCAAACCTACTACCATCGAGTTGATTCCAACTCAGAGTGACCCCACAGGACAGAGTAAAACTGCCCCAAAGGATTTCCAAGGCTGTAAATCTTTACAAAAGCAGACTGCTTCATCTTTCTCCTGTGGTGAAGCTGGTGGGTTCAAATTGCTGAACTTCTGGGTAGCAGCCAAATGCTTTAAGCACTATGCCACCAGAGCTCATTATATACGTATAAGGGAGTCCTGAAACTAAATTTTAAGAAACACTCCTTTTAATACTCTAAGGGACGTAGCTCACTAGACAATCTTCCCATTGATTGGGAGAGCTTCATTAGCATTAAGCTACCAATAAGTGGGCCCATCAAGGGGCTACATTTATATAACACTGAGAGAAGAAAGTAGCTTCTGATTCTACTTTTCTACTGGATAGATATTCAAAGAACTATACACACAGATAATGCCTACAGAGCACAGAAAAGCTCTTGAAGGTATAAGTCTCTACACAAACTTACTGTATCTCTGTTATAATGAAATATGTTCCAAGTCAACATGGGCTTTCAAAAACTTTCTTATTGTTAGATAACAATTCTTACTGCTCTGCAGAGTAGCTTAAATCTGCATTTACAAAGCATTAATACACACAAATACCAGAATATTCAGTATAATTTCTGTATTTGACATTTCTCTAGCCCAATCACAATGAATAAAATGCCTATGAACAGGCCAATAGAACTTATTCATCTGTGAACTCCCTCCATCTGTCTTTGAGTCTACAGAGAGTGAGTGCTACAGGAAGCTGCTTTGTTTAATGGGTATTTTTGTACAGCTAATACAGTTTATTCCAAAGATGAATTGAAGACAGTTCTTCACCTCATCACTGGAAAACTGTTGTATTTAACAAATATACTTTTTATTAAGCAATCTAAAATTTTCATTTCTTTATAATACTTTCCCCAAAGCCAAGAGAACTCAGACTGATGAAGACAGAAACAGGTCCTTAAAGCAGTTATGGCTCATCCTGACAGTCTGTTCACTGACAGTCACAGTGGGAAGATAACCAAGTTAAGTCTGGAAGGGTAAAGCAAGGCTAGACAGATGAAGAGGACAACAGGCTTGATATTAAATCTTCAAAAGAAACAAATTAATCCTTAGTCATCTTAACTGACTTTTCTGCATGCAAATTGCAACATCCAAAGAATGCCATCCTAACTATAAAAAATCAATTTCTGTTTACAGTGTAGTCAAGGTTATAATGCCAAACTAATTCTACTCAATGTGTTCAGATTAAGAATGTCCTTTCAAAACTGCAATGTGGATTAACATGACTTCTACTGCAGATTCAATGTTCTCTAATAATTGACAGATATTCACAATTTCTATTCTTAAGAGAAACAGACTTAAATGTTACTCAGTAATCTTAGTCCACTTCAAAATGGTAAATTTTTAAGAGAAACAAAAAGTGATTACTTTAGTTAGTACTGTAAATTTTTTTATAATTGAAAGAGACCTAAGAGGTCCTCTATATATTACCTTCCTAATACAGTAACCTCATCCCTCCCATCATCCTTTCTCCCCACCCACAGATCGTCACTAAGCTGGCAACAAAAATGGATCCCTACCTTATGAGGGTGCCAAAAGCTCTTCCTCTATACTGAACAGGGAACTTCAGTTTCTGGTACCCTGATGTGCCCTTCCACTGAAACAAGTAAAGAGACAATATACTTTAAAAAAATCATTTAGAAAACCTCTGCGCTAGCAAGAAAGTAAGAAATCCTGGAAGGCCAAACAAAGACTAAGCTAAAGTGGAAATCCAAGAAGGATTCCAAAAATCAAACCTATTGCCATCAAGCTGATTCTGACTCATGATGACCCTATAGGACAGAGTAAAATTGCCCCAGAGGATTTCCAAGGCTGTAAATCTTTCAGAAACTTCATCTTTCTCCTGTGGAGTGGCTGGTGGGTTCAAATGGTTGACTTTTTGGGTTAGTGGCAGAAATCTTTAATCACTTAGCCATTAGAGCACCTTAGGTGTACCTCCTAAAGTTGACTTTCTTTTCTGAGGTTATTTGCCAAAACCAGGTGACCTCAAGCTTTGACTTTTATAACTCATCAACAACTCTTCATAAATCTTGGTTCAGATATAAAAGAAAAAAGCCACACTGAGATTTCTTAACAAGCTATTTTTCTGCATCTCCCTTTGCTTAGTTCAACTAACATTTGGTCAAGCCCTATTAATTGTTGGACATAATGGAAAGCCCTGGGAAGTAGAGAAAGACAGAGTCATTACCTCTAGACATACAGAGTCTAGTCAGGTAA